AGGAAGGGAAGCGAGTGCCTTCATTCCTCGGGGTCCCGCTTGAGCTGCTTGGTGTCAGTAGGCAGAGGGAGCTCAGCCATCGTGACCTGAACGTGGTCCAGCGAGGTTTCTAAAGAAAGGGGGTTTCCTGCTGTTGTTGGATCGAATAGCCTAAAATTAGCGAAGCTGCTGGTTTAAAGGGTGTTTTCTGGGGTAAGTAGAAAGTAAAAACTCCTTGGCTACATTCCCTGTAGGAATGGGAGCAGTTTTTACTTGAAAAGCCATATTCATGATCTTTAGTCCAAAGCCATGAGGTGACTGGGTTATAACATGTCCCTTTTCATTCTTCCCCTCTCATTTCTCAGCCTAATCCAAAGACTTCCCATAAACGTTTTTCCTGGCTCTGCAGAAGCTCCATCCATATCCCCACATTCTTTCTAACCCTCTTTTGTTTTTTTCTTGACTTTCCCTGTTCCTGCTATTACTGTAAGTAATTAAAAGAAACAAGCTGTTTGCACTGCAATGGTTTACCTTGTAACAAGTTGATTTTTGTGGGTTTTTTTTTTCCCCTGTTATCCACATCTTTCTCTCCCACACCTAAAATTCATCAGGGGGAGAAAGTTGTCAGGCAGGTGCACAGTGAGACTGTAGCCATCAGCTGATCCCAGTGGGAATGGACCAGCACAGGAGCTGTGTTGTAACACAGGCTGTCACAGGCTCTGGCTGCTCCTTCTGAGCATTTGAGCTTCAACTGAACAGCAGCTGGGTTTAACAAGGCTCCGGCTCAGTGGTGGTCTGTGCAGGAAGGCTGAGGGTGGCCACTGCTGGGATAAGAACTGTCCCTGGAGCTGCTGCTCTCCCCTCCACTCTGAGCAGGTTTCTTACGGCTCAGAGAAGCTGTGGCTGCCCCACCCCTGGAAGTATCCAAGGCCAGGGTGGGGGCTTGGAGCACCCTGGTCTAGTGGAAGGTGTCCCTACCCTTAGCAGGGGGGTGGAACGAGATGGCCTCTAAGGTCTTTCCAACCCGAACTACTCTGTGATTGATTTTTAGCAAGTGTTAAAGCACGAGCCGAGACATAGAATCCCTTCAGGTGCAAAAATTGGAATCTTAGTGCTGGAAGAACCCGTTAGTGTTTCATTTTTAACTTCCTCCAGTCACAAGATGCTACCCAAGATTAAGTTGCTATTAAAAGTAAACCCTGTAGCTTCCCAAAGGCGGTGGAAGAAACTGAGCAGCATCTAAAATGCCTTATAAATTAAGGCTGGAAGTAAATGGGGAGGAGGGGGGCACAAAGCACATTCCTGTAGTGCAAGTGGAGGAGCTGAGGGAGATCTGCTTGTCATCACCTTCCAATTTTAATGCCCAGATATTTTTGCCCACAAGGACTGGTCACGTGTCAAGACAAGCAGCAGTTCGACTCTTTAGGTTCAGAAACGTGTGATTTGGGGGCGCCGGTCATCCTGTACCCACAGGAAAGGCCTGGCTGGGGGGGGGTTTGATTCCTGCATTTTCCAAACAGTGGGGTTTTTGGAGGCTGTGGATCCCCTCCAGCTGGCAGAGGGAATCCCTGCAGGAGGGGTGTAGTGTGGTCAGTGGTGGTCCCAGCTCGGCCGGGCGCACCTTCTCCGTGGCCGTCGGTGTCACTGCACCAGCGCAGGGCTTTGGCATAAAGCTTTGGGTTGTATTGATCTTGTCGGTTACTATGACTTCTTTTTTTTTTTTCCCCCCTTCAATTGCATCATACCCTTAAAAAACGGTGGTAAGTGAGAGCTCTGCATGCTTTGGAGTTTGTTTAACCTCCGCTTCAGTCTATACAACGCACAAGTCATGACCGTTAACACTCTTAAAACTTCCTCATTCACGTTCACAACTAATTTGGATTTCAGTTTGCTGTTTTTAATCTTTTCTTTAGTCTGATTTTGTACTGGTTTTTCTGTTGTTCTGTTGCCCCCTGGTTTCGCTGAGGGTTCGGTCTCTGTCTGTACTGTACTGGGGATGCTTTTCCAGCAGTTACTGGCTCACCAGGATAGCGACGCACCGAGGAATCTTCCTCGGTCTTTTTCTCTCTGTTTAGGGTATAGATGGGACAGGGACGAGTGGTGGGGATCCACCATCTCTAAGTATTCCAGTAGGCTTTTTTGTTGGATCTCTGTTAGGAAAACACCTGATGGCAACCTTTACAAATGTGAAGCTTCTTTTATTTTTTTTTTTTTTCCCTCCCAAACACAAACCTCCTGATCCGAAATGGGCATTTAAATATTTGAGCAGAGAAGGGAGAACGGTTATTTTTCTAGCGAGATCTCCACGGTGCAGTTCGATATTGCTGAAGTCCAGCCAAACAAACTCCCAAAGCTGTCGATGGTGTTTGTCAGAGCCGAGAGGAGTCTCGGGGGCAGCGCTGGGTTTGGGGCCCGGGGCTCGTCCCGCCCGGAGCGCGGAGCTCGGCCTGCTTTCAGATCCTTTGATTCCCAACAGATGTTTGTGGAAGGAAGCTGTAGATTTCCTCTACTGTGCTTTGTGTTTCAGTACCTGATGTGTCTCTGTATATCTCACTGTATATACAACAGCACATTGATGTCTGGCTGTCCTTCCTAGTCCCAGTTCTCTGTACCGTGTCCGATAGTTACTGTTGCTGGTAATGGAATTCTGTGGACACCGGTGTGTCGCTAGTCTGTTATTTTGGCTGTAAAGCTCTTGGTTTGTGGTTAGTTCTTTATTTTTTGGAGTATTTTTTGTTCCGGTCACTGTCTGTGCTAGCGGTGGCTTTGCCTCTCCGTTGCCTTGAAGGTCCAGGTGGAGTAATGTCCCCTCTTCCCGACATTACTCCTGGCGTGTGCTCATGCGGATGCCTACACTGTAAGACTGTAATTTCCATAACTGCTTCATGTGCACTAAGCACCCTTGTGGAATCCTGCTGAGAGTTTCTCAAAGACTTCCCATGAAAAATCCCTCCGGCACAAGGTGGGAACAGCAACTGTTGAGTGCCCAAACCAGCAGGGCCTGAATTGGTCCCCCCAAAATCCACCTATGGGAACGTTAACTTCCAGGATTGGTTTTTGTACTGCTGTTTAAATGCATTTCTGTTTTCTGTACTGCAGCCTGGGAGAAAGTACAGTGTTTGAGAATTCCAAAAAATAGTCCAATTGCTCCTGAAAGAGTTAATGCCAAACATTCCTCATTGGCAGATGTTTCCCCCCCAATTAAGAGCATTCTTTTGCCAAGGGACACGGGCAGCCCGTGTTCTGGAGGTGTCACAGCTCCTGACTCCTCCTGGTGATCAGATGCCACTGCCTAAGGACCACGGCTGGGGCTGGAATTGAGTGTTCCCCTTCAGTCTCCTCCTAACCTGGTCCCTTCTAATTAAACATTGAGAAAAATGGGGAGTGTAGAGGTGGTTTCATCCATGGGGGAAAATGAGTAGGGGGGGTATGTCCCTTCTGAGGTATATACCAGGAATTACCCATGAGCAGTGGAGAAATGGCTTACAAATTGAAATATGTATATTAAAAATTAAGTCAATGCAAGCAAACAACCAGCAGGATTTTACAACTGAACCGTTGGTTTGTCTCCTCATCTATTTTTTATGAGATTGAACCACTGGAACTTGGGGACAAGATGAGTCTTGACCATGTTGCACCAATCTGTCCGCTACAGTTGCAGTCCTTCATGACCAGCATTCCAAGTGTTAACTAAACCCATTGAAGCAACATACCTGCCATTAAACCCGAATCCAGAACAGTAACTCCATGACTCCTTGCACTCCCGACTGGAATGGCCTTTGATGCTGTAGATAGATCGGTTTGCTGCTCGCAGTGCGGCCGCGGCACCGGGCAAACACTGACTCTCTTTTTCTTTCCTTCCCTTGTCTCTCCTGGATCGCATCGGGATTCTTGCTGCAGATGATGAACCAGCTGGGCCAATGTAAGTGTGTTTTGAGGAAAAAAGTTCGATTTGGGCTAATCTGGGGGGTTGTGGGAGGTGACAGAACATATGATTGGTGTCACGTGTGCCAGTACGGACGGTGAGGGACACTTTGGTGTGTTGTGTGTTAGTGCTGGAGGAAAGAAAAGCAACATCTTGCTAGAAAACAAATATTGTGGTACAATACCAAGTCTGAAAGCTTTATTGTATTCAGCCACTTAAAGAGAGGAAGAGTGAAATGCTGTTTAACTAATTATGTACAAATAATTGCATATAATTATGTACAGATAAGTACAAATAATGTACATTTTTCCTGTGTTGGTGACTGATTTTGGTGCACTCCTTTATAACTTCTCTCTCTCTCCAGGAAAACCAATTCTACAAACAATCACAAAGATAAAAACTTACGCCAGAGAAACACAAATTAAAAATGCTCATCATGTAAGTATTCCCCGAGCCCTGCTGGGAGAGGGCAGGCTCAGCCCTCCCCTGGCTGTAGCGGTTGGGGCGCGGAAGCAAAGCGCGTTCCATGGATTCAAACGTTCCCGGCTGCGCGGAGGATGGCGCTGGCCTTCCTGGGAGCGCTGGGGGGCACCAAACCATTGATTGCCTAAAGCACGAGGGTGGTCGAACGCCCCACCTGCTCCAAAAACACACACTGCAATTCCAAAGCCGCCCCCTCGTCCCGGGGGTCAGGAGTGGCGCCGGCCCGGGGGCGGCCGTGCCCCTCCCGCGAGCGCGTGGATTGCAGGCTGGCGGCTCGCGGGGTCCACCATTGACTAGCACCTCTTTCTCGTTTCTTTTTTAGAGCTTTAAGTTTCTGAGAGACTGATGGCAATATGACCTGCTAAATTTAAGGGTTGGAACTCTTGGTTCTAGAACTCCAGTTCTGTCTGATTTCTTTTTTTTTTCTTTCCTTTCCAAGTGAGCAACGATATGACTGTCTAACGCATGCCTTATTTAGCCTCTCCTGCAAGGATGACCTAGCCAGATCAATTTTAATAATGCTTCCGTGTAGAAGGTGTAAACTATTTTGGGCTTGATGTGCTGTGAATGTTGCTTTTTTTTTTTTTTTCCCTTTACTCTCTTTACCATGAGCAGTAGCCAGGCGGGTTCACGCATGCGCCATTTTTTACTTCCTGTAGCTGTTAAATTTGGCACCGCTCAAACCGCACCGCTGCCATCTAGTGAGACTTCTTTTGTAAAGTACAGCAGAACTTAAAAATATATACAGTATATATTTATATTGGGGGGGGGGAGGGGGAAACCAGAAGTCATTGTGGTTCATTTTGAAGCTGCTGATATTCATTCCTTACTGTATGGCTGGGAGGAGAGAGCGATGCCGGGCTGGCACTGGGACAAGGGAGACTTTGGAATTACCTTAAGGGCTTAACTGCGGAGCACGGGGTGTCCTGGGCGGCAGAGCTGGGATGGTTCCAGGGGGTGGTGGTGGTGGGATGCAGTTGGAAACAAAAACAAACCTTCAGTTTATAAATATATATATATGATTGCTTTTTAAGTGATTTTTTTTTTTTTTTTTTTTTTTTGTTAACTCATGTAAATTCTCAAATCCTTTTGCACTGATGTGTTCAACATATTCTTGTACATTCAATTCAGGCAAACTTTTATAATTTTCTTTTTTTTTTTTTTTGTTTAAATGATGAAATGTTACAGCATGGTGATATTCTATGCAACTAGTTATTCCTCTTTAGTTTGACACTGTAATTTCTCATGATTTAAAGATTGTAGAAATAGACCTACCAGGGTTCTCATGATGTGCGTAACTGTAGCTGCATGAACTCGTGTTCTGTGTATTTGTTGAAGTGCAATGATGTATAAAAAGTGGATTCACCTGTTTTTAAAAATAAAACACTGACAAAAAACCCCAGGGGTCTTGTTTTTCAACAATTTAATCTCTCGGTACAAAGTGGTGTTTCTCAACCTTCTGTGAGTTTCTGCAATTCCTTCTCCACATCTTCCACGAAGGCTGGGAAGTGCTGGTCCATGAGGCAGAGGCGGATGAAGGGCCCCAGCTCGTGTGCAGGCCACACCACGTGCCTGTAGGCCTGGGGCAGCTCGGGCCTCCTCCTCAGCACGGACTGGGGAAGGAACAAAAACCACAGTGGTTGCACTGCCCTCGGACACGACAGGTCCCTGACAACACACGTACATCCGAGTTTTCCTCTGACACTGGATAAGGATGGATCTGCCCCGTTCGTGCTGTTGGAACGCCTTGATCAGGTAGGATTGCTGTATGCAGGTTTTTCTCTGATGCCCAGCTCTGATCCCAGTGGAGTTTTTTACACAGTGTCAAATTTTACTGTGGTTACTTAAACTGGAAATTTAAACTGGGAATGCCAGTGTCCTGGGCAGTGTGGCTTCCTGGTGAATATCCATTCTGTGTAAGAGCAGTGGATCCACACTGCCACGTGAATTGTGTAGGGATAACAAGTGTGCACTTCTGAGCTCTTAATTTAGCAAAATGTCTTGTAGAAGTAAATTGTGGGGCTTTTGAAATGTTAAAACATCCTTTTCGTCCCTGTTTAACCACCTCCCTCAGCTTTTTCCTCTGGTGGTGGGAGAACTCTGGGCATTTTATCCCTGGTCAGTGTAAATAAAATGAGTGGCAGCAGAGTGGAAGATGCAGGACATGGGCTGTGGAAGCCCTGGCTGCCTCCAGCATCCACAGGCAATGCCTGGAGAAAGGCACAGCCTAATGGAACCAACTGTGTTTAAGGGATGACAGATCCATCTAATAGGGAGCGTGGGAATTGTCCCTTGTAGCACTGATGCAAAGAACATGGATCACTCCCTGCCTGTGGCAGGGGGTTGGAATGAGATGGACTGTAAGGTCCTTTCCAACCCAAAGCAGTCTGGGATTCTGTGATCACCCTATGACTATGGAAAGACCCAGAGAAACAACTGCAAAAGCACGAGCTGGAAAGAGTAGAGTTTTCTGCTAATTCCATCTCCTGCACTAGTCCAAATTCCCAGTAAAGGAGAACAGTTCATTTCCAGTTATTTACTTTGGGAGCTGTTTATTAAATATTGGATCTGCTGCAGGTCAGGGATGAGAAGGCTCCAGTGCCTAAAGGGGCTCCAAGAGAGCTGGAGAGGGACTTTGGACAAGGGCATGGAGAGAAAAGATGAGGGGGAATGGCTTCCCACTGCCAGAGGGCAGGGTTAGCTGGGATACTGGGAGGAAATTCTTCCCTGTGAGGGTGGTGAGGCCCTTGCATAGGTGACCCAGAGCTGTGGCTGCCCCATCCCTGGAAGTGTCCAAGGCCAGGTTGGATGGGGCTTGGAACAACCTGGGCTAGTGGAAGGTGTCCCTGCCCATGGCAGGGGGTGGAAGGAGATGGGCTTTAGGGTCCCATCCCACCCAAATCATGTTTCTGTGATTGGTATTTTCAGATTTCAGCTCTGTCTGCAGAAGTAATTTCTGCAGTCAAACCAGTGCCAAAGCCATTCACTGGGCTGTTGCCTCTGGGTATTTATTTGCTCTCAGTGTGTCATTTGTTCGTATGCAAGTGGAGTAATTACACCACCAAATACCTGGGTTTGCATCATTACACAGATCCTGTGTTTTGCTGCTGTGGATGATGGCATCCTGATGTTCAGGGAAGACATTTACCTGATGTTTATGGAATCTGAGTTCATTCTCTCTCTGTGCCTGACAGATTCAGCTGAAGGATCTAAATATTAAGACTTTTATGTTTTTACCTGTGCTAGCTGTGCTACAGATCTTCTTTCTCCAAGGCTTGTGCAGGAATCTTGTAGAGACTCATCTGGCTAGAAAATATCAAATGCAAATAAGGGCTTGTTACCAAGCAGAGTGTGGGAATGTGCAAGAGGGAAGTAGTTCCATTTTTAGAGCTGATGGGAAGGGAATGTGCTCAGCTACCTTATGCAGTAAAAAGGCATCTTTTTATGGAACCTGCATGCACATCTGCTCAAGTCTTTAAAAATGAAAGATACAACAATTTAACTACAGGCCCGTTATTTCATGTCTGAGCTAAGTTTTAAACTACTTCCTAGAAGGAACTTTAAAAAAGCTCTGCATGAATGATCACAGGAGCATGCTGCTTCCTTCCCATGGGTCTAAACACTCAAGAGAGCATATATTTAAGAAGAAACTTTCTGCCTTTTTCATTTACCTCAGAGCTTTGTCTTGGAGAGGGGAAACATTCTGTTCCTACGGCTCAAACTGTTCCTACAGCTCACGCTGTACATCTGCAGTTGTAGCAATCACTGCCACTGCAACCCAGGAGTAGGTGAACACAAAAAGGAGATACAATACAGGGTTCCTTAATGGCTCTGCTCATTTTTTTACCCTGTACAATTAATTTGAAAATCTGCCAGTTGGGTCCCAACTCAAATCTCATGTAGATGGTCTCACAGTTGCAAGAAACTCGTCCTTTCCAGCTGCAGCACTAACAGCTGGTTATCCTTCTGTGTGTTCTGACTTACTCCGTGCTCAGTGTCCATGCCCTGGTTGTCCTGGCTGAGGCCGTGGTACAGCTGCTGGCTCTGTTCCTCAGCCCCCTGCACGGGGACGTACTCGGACAGTTTGTGAACACAACTGCAGCAGTGTCCCAGCATCTCCTCCTTGGAATTCCCACCAAACTGCACTCGGAACATGCGGCACTCGTTCTGCTCGAAAACCAGAGGGGAAGGAAATTAACTGTGAAAGCCCTCAAACTACTTTGATTTAATGAAATCCCTGCTTGTTAAAGATGGGAAGAAGGCGGTAGATTCTTGGGTCACTGCACCAACTTAAACAAGTTTTCCCTGCTGTATTTTCATTTTTTTCCCAGCAGCTGAACCAGAAGACTGTGATCCCCAATTTGAAAGTCAGTTAAAAATATGCAAGAAAAGGATAAGTAAGAGATGCAGGGCCAGCTGTCACTAATTAAAGGTACAGCCACATGAACAAACCTTGCCATGACAACAGTTTTTACACACAGAGCAGGAAATGAGTTTTATTGTTGCTGCAAGTAGTATCCAGTAAGGACAGGCCAACTTGACAGTTTTCTGTGACAAAAAAATGACACTACAGTAAGAAGTTAACTCTGAAATCTGAACTAGAAATTCTGGGAATGGTATGTTCCAGTTAGGATTTGTTCCTGATGCATCAAACCCAGCCCTTCCTACCCACCTGGTCTACCTCTGTGTAGCTAAACCTGAATATTGTTTGGCTTTCACCTGAATGTTCCTTGAACAGAAGCCAACACGTTGAATGGGAGTGCAAGAAATTCCAATGCATTGCTTTAAACAGTCAATTACTACTCAAAATGAAAGAAACCCAGACAGCTCTGACCCCTCAGTATAGGCTGTCAGGCTGTACCATAATATTTTTAAGTGTCTGAGGTCCAGCAAACTGCCCTGAAATGGGGATGGCAGAGTCTGTTGTGTGTGATAAGCTTGGCCCTGAGCTGATGTAAGGCAGATGGATATTGATGTTTAGGGAGTGAATTAATGGGACTTCCCGTTTGACCTTGAAATTTCCCATTTAAAAGTTAAACTCCTAGAAAAGCAGCAAGTTTTCCTTGGGCCAGCCTGGCTTACTTGAGTGTTCATCCTTCTGAGGTTTCAACATCCAGTCCATGTTTTGGCACCTGGACACATTGCCAGGCTGTGGGTACTGAGTGCGGGGACAGCTCTCGGCGTAAGGATTTCTGTCTCAGCCACGAGCCAGCTCTTCCTGACAGCCTCTGTGTTTACATACCCGTTATTTTAAGATGTCTGTATCACATAAAATGATTTTTAGGGCGGTGTAAGCGTAAAACCTTGTCTCGGTGCCTTTTCAAGGGAAAAATGTCACAATAATGTGAAGTGTAGCCCTTGTTTTACCAGTGCCTGGTTGTATTTGCTCTGATTAACTCAGATGTAACTGCAGAGCTGCACATACCCAAGAACTGATCTGTGGGATGCCAGACAGGTGAGTTCTCATTAAAAATGACAGAAAGGGAATTTAACTTGAATTCCTTTTGGAGACTTTTGAAGACCACTTGTTTTAGTTACCCTTTTTTGACTCTGAAAATGAAACATCCTTCCTTCCTGGAAAGAGAGCTGAGATGATGTCACGGTTTAGCATAAACTGAGTACTTAGGTTCACACCTGAACCTAAAGCTGATGTCTTAAAGAACCCTGAGGTCACGTGAATCGTCCAGTTTGCACTTCTTCCATGCTGGGGTGGGGGGCTGAGCTCAGTGAAAACAATTTGCAGTGAAATTACTTATTGCAAGAACATTAAGAACTTTCACCTTGCTCCTGTTTATATGAGAGGCTCCAGCCTCATTCTGCTAAGAGGCCACAGTGCCCTCCTGAAATCATATTTCCTAAGTAATGAGTAAATTCCACTATAAATGCAGTATTAACAACTTAGAAAAAACAAGGAGTACAAGATAAATCCAAAATTTATCAGAAAGATGAGCACAGAAGCTTCATCCACTGACAGCATTAAAGGCATAGCTTCAGCTACAACTTGGGACGTAAAGTGCGTGGTAGAACCACTGCAGTGCCACTAAATCCAGTCTGCCATGTGAATTTGTGGTAAGTAAGCATTTAGATGCACCAAATTTATTTCAGCCTATGTTAATAGTCCTCCTTGCCTGAAGTGCCCCTCAGAGGTTTGTTAAGCCTCGGAGTGACTGTGATGTTTTGTGTTCCTGGAGAGATGCAGCAGAATCCCTGTGCTGGGGGACTGGGTCTGTTAGTGGGAAAGGGAACAACCCTTCTGGTTCATCAGCACCAATTCCTGCCCCAGGGTGAGACTTGTCTGCAGTGACAGGCCATGTTTTATAACAAGCTGACAAAAATCACAGCACAAAGGTGTTTCAGGCACAAGCCATGAATTTAAAACAGTAAGATACTTCAGGAGTAAGTATAAGAGTTCATCTAAGAAACAAAAAAAAATAAGATTTTTCCATAAATTGGTAACAAGTGCTGTTTGATTATTTAAAGGTGAACCAATCACTTACTGTGAGCTCTGAGGAGAAGACCAGAAACCTCCACATCCCTTTTGCTGCCTTGAGTACCAAATACCTGAACCACCAACCTACTGCTACTGTGCCAGGGGCCACAAAATGGCTAAATAATTGCCTGTTTGGATAGTTTGTTTGCCTAAGTGAAGTCTGACTCATGGAAGAAATTCACTTCATCTTTTTAATTGTTAGCCATGGCAGATAGATTGTGTAATAAATACCAGTCCAGCTGTTTTAGCAGCTAACTCTGAGAGCAGGCTAAAAACCCTGAACACTAGCACTTACAAAAGACACAAGATGACTCGATCCATTGTTTAGTATCTAGAGTAAAAACAAATATAATTCTGATTTATATAGATGATTTACAACTTCTGGTTAAATTTAGCCAATATTAAGAATTTTCCTCCAGAAAATCAGAAGTGTTTCAGTGGCTATTAGAAGTGTTCAAAGCAGCTCAACTCACCTTTCCCTGTGCCCGGAGCAGCAGGCAGTCTGCTCTCCTCACTATCTTGAGCCACTTGTGGGAATCAATCAATGAAAAGCCCTCCTGAAATAAAGCAGGACACAAAACACTTGCACAGCAAATATGCAACACTTGGCAGTACACGCTTCAGTTACGTGATGTAATTAAATCCCTAATGAAATTAGTCACTGTGTTCGTGCAATTTCTGTATCTGTCAAACAACTGCCAATATGGAATTTTCACCACTCCGGGGATTAAATCCGCAGCTCCAGTAACACCACCATGTCAAGGTATGTTCCAATTTCCATTTCTGTTTTATATTTGTGCATGTTATCAAAGCCTCGATGAAGTGCAGGATAAAGCAGCTGCAGTCAGAGCTGAAGTTGCCTGGGAGGGCAGCAGAGGGCAGGAGAAGCCGGGGAATGGGACAGCACCTGCTTTATCCAGGGAGGCCTTTGCTCCAGATGGCACTCAGGGAAACAAGCAACAGCTGTGATAATTAGATAAAGATGTTTTTATACTCCAGTTGCATTACAGTCAGTCTCTTCAAACTAGATGGACTGCTCAGCAACCTGTGAGAACACCCCAGGAAGGTGGAAACGTCACAGAACAACTGCAAGGCTATGGACTGTGTCTCCCCAGGCACTCTGAGCCCTTAGTTAGCAAAGTCCAGGGTCAAAAATAAACAATTAACAAACCTAAGGGCAGGGAGGAAATCAGGCACCTGTTTTATGTGAACTCATAGTGCTTTCAATGACCATGGCTTGGGCACAGGCCGCTTTTCAAGGGGCCCTAAGGGTCAAAACCCCCAGGTCCTGTCCATCCCGGACCGCCAGCAGTGTGCCACAGCCACTGTCCATCTCAGGCAGGTCCAGGCTGGAAAACCACCTGCCATTCTATTTTGGTACAGGAATCACCTCAGTGATTCTGCTCCTTTACTGTGCTGGCATTGGCTTTATAACCTCATGCAGCAACTGCATGTAGGTTTTTAACTGCACTTTTACAGTCTAAGAAGCAGTGAAGTGCTGAACCAAAGGCAAACTGGACCCCATCACCTGCCATGAGAGACTCCAGAATGTCTGACAGCAGGTAAGTATCATTCCCAAAAGATGTGGGGTCAGAGGGAGGAAAGTATTGCCCTGAGCACAGTAGAAGCAGGTGCTGACAGCAGGTGAGATGGGCCAGTCCCTTGCAGTGTGTCTGTCTGTACTGAACACTCCAATGCCTTAAGGTGGGACTTGCCAAGGTGTGAAAGGCCTCAAGGTCAAAGCAAAAGGAAGAATTCCCTCTGTGAGCCATGGGAAGACGTGGAACCAGGCCCCAAATTCTACTATCCCGTTCCTTCACTAGGCCAGTCTAACTTACAGCCACTTGTGCTCGCTCTGTTCAAGTAGTTTCTGTTTAGGAGACTCACCGACTGTGTTTATTTAAATATAGCTGTTCCCGTATTCAGTCTGGTTTTATAGTGTTTTTCCTTTTACTAGAGATGAAGGTTGGACAAATGTTGTCTCCTTTAAATAATAACTGTTTTCAAAGAAATGATAAAAGGCAGCCACTGTTTAACTTTCCTACCAACTGTTTTATTGACGTTTCCCAGGTTCTCCTCCTTTTATGTGTCCTGTTGCTGAGGTAAAACAAGCTGGGAAAAAACAGCATTTGGAATTTTTATTTACATACTCCTGATTATTCAACTCCAACCCCAAAATCTGATTTAACTAAAATTTAAGTTTCATTAACTGAAGAACAACGCAGAAAGTATTTTCTTTTCTCTTGTACCTTGGGTTGTTTGTAAATTGCCAAGCAGAAATAAATAACTAACTAATAAATTCCCTGGTTCCACCACTGGAAGCTGGGAGGATCTGTGCCCCCAGCCGGGAGCTGGGCATGGGGCAGAGCCTGGGAACTGCGAGGCAATCCATTGATCTTACTGTCCGTGTGTGCCTGCCCAGAGATGCTGCCCTGGCTCGCTGTGCTCGGAACGCGGGCAGTGACACAGGGACAGCAGCAATCCCTGCGGATTGTGCTGCCCCCAGGCTGGCAGAGCAGGGAACGGCGGCTCTGCTCCCTGCAGCATCCGCTGCTGCTTCAGTCAGAGCTGGGCAGCAGCAAAGCCAGATGGCAGTGTAAGATTAATCAGAGTAGATTAAAAAGGCAGCCTAGGACTGGGCAGGGACATAAGAGCTCAGATGTTTATAATGTGAAGAGAAAAACGGCAGCACTTTTCTAAGTTTGATCTTTAATATTCAGTCAGGCACAAACCCCTCCTGTCATTCTCCACGACTGGACTTGTGAAAAAATGGTGGTAAAGGGAAACTGTTCCCGAGGACTCTGAGTGGAATTAAGCTGAAGCAGAAAACAAGATGTTTCCCAAATGTTTTGGAAGCAGGCAAGATGTGACCACACCTTCCAAGAGGCAGAGAAGCCAGTGATGCTGATCCTGCCTTACAGCCACCGGGTCCAGCATTGACTGGGAAATACTTTTGTTCTGACTTCACACTTCAGCACTGGGCAATGATCTGTGATCTGTTTTGGAAGGTAGTACATGTTATTTATGTGTATTTTCTATTAGATCATCTGGAAACCCCGTGGTGCTAAGGAACACAGGAACATTTTTAGTTAGATTGCAACTCTATCTGAACTAAAAATTAATATATATTTAAGAAATGTTATTCACGTACCAGTTCAGCTAGGCAGGCTTGCATCAATTAGTTTGGCTTCACTCATTCACAAGGCAGATGTTTTCAAACAAAACTATGGGTAAACAACAGCTTAGGAGGAAAAACCTCTTTTTTTTTTTGATCACAAACATGATCTAATCTGCCCTTAAATTACAACCAATATTAAAGAAGACAAACAAAACCCAGACTGCCACAGCGAGACACATTCTCCAGTTTGGGCTGCCACTTCTAATAGGCTCATGAAATGCAAATACAACAGTCTGTTCTCTGGGTTCATAGTCAGAGTGAATGCATGAGGTGTATGATGTTATGGATTAAGGACTCGGCTGGGTATCCCACAGACTGGGAATGTGCATTTCCAAGAAATGATGAGTTCAGCATGAGATCAGAGGAGTTTATTGTGTTCATTACTGTCCCAGGGCACAGCTGCCAGAGTGGTGCCAGCTGGTAACTGAGGCAAGACGGCAGAAAAGCCAAAGGCCTCAGCACCATTCTGACACAGGCTGGGCAGCACCACAGGACACAATTCCCTGGAAAACAGAGCAATCTACTTCCAAAGTTTCCAGGGAGGCACCTATGACAGTCCCTTAATCTGTTCCTTTCCCAAGGTAATCTACCAGGACACAAGTGGGCAGCAAAACTAGCCCAGAACTGCTCACAGTGCCCTGGCAGGGAGAAAGCCGAGATTTGGGAAAGCACTTTTGTGGGGAAGGGTTGGAAGCTCTGCTGGTCTGAGCACCCCACCTGCAACCTCGTGCAACCTGCTCAGAACAGGCAGGGCTGGGTTAAATCCCCTGGCATCCTCCCCAGGGGGAGAGGCACTGCCCAGAACTGTGCTCCCCACACCGAGGGCTCAGGCACTGCCGGAAATCCCTTCAGAAAGAGCATTCGCTGCTGAGGGCTCAGGGGTCATTTGTTAAGCTCAAATACCAACGGTTTTGACCTCTAATATTCAAGGTATTGTAATTTAACATTCATACTGAATAACAGTGCCTAATTTGGCAACAAAGGAATGGTAATATTATTTCAGGTACCTCCACTGTGTGGTTCTAAACAAAACAGAACAAAAATACTGTAGTTGTGAAGACTGTTAATAACCATTATCTCAAAAGACAGTAAAAACGAAGATGTGGGAGCAGGCAGTCTGGAAAAGCTTCTAAATTATGTTCAACTGTTATACAGAACACTAAAGAATAACCAAAACTGAGATTCTTTCAGAAAACAAGCAAAACTGGAGAACATGTTTACAGGTGAGTGCTTTGATGGTGATCACTTTAATAGGGATTCATTTATTAACAGGTTATTATAAGAAATGAAACTGTGCATATTTGAAATTTGACAGAGATTCTAAATCAAATACTTGCATGTATCTGAAAAATAGCAATTTTTAACTTCAAAAAAGGAGTTGCTGTTTTACACTTTCTTCCACAATAACAAGGTTTCTATTTTAAAAAATGAAAATTCTTCATTAGTGACTGTAGAATGAAATAGTAATTCCAGCTGAAAGATAAAAGTTGTGAAAATTAAACTTGGAACATAATTTCATTCTCACCTTCAGTATTACCTTGTAACACACCTGGAAAAGTACAAATTTTCCTCACTTGTATCTTTTCCCAAGATCTAAATAAGGCCAAATACATTAGGTTTTATTTCTGCAGTATGAGCTGTCTCAAAAAAAAATAAAATATCCCCAATTAAGAGAATCTGCAAAGTGAGGGAAGCAGAAAGTTGTCCCTGCAAAAATTTCCAATCCCAACAACCAAGGCAGCCAGCCAGGAGTAAGGAATAAAGGGGATGCTAAGCTCTGCATTATCTTTTTGTATGCAATTTTTTTACCTTTAATCTCTTAGAATCTTAAATCTTGCTATTAAAGCTCGTTTGATTGTGGAAAAGAACAGGAGGGTTGAACTCATTAAACAGAGTGCTCCATGTGTACAGGAAATGGGAAATACAGGACACACCAGCCACCCCTGAGGGGACTCAGGAACCACAAATCTTTGGCCAAAGTGCAGGAGCAGGGGCTTCATTTCTAGCAAGAGTTCCCCCAGATGGGTACAAACTACACCCCCTGAAGGAGTGAGTAGCAAAGACAAGCCCCTAACTCAGGACAGACCTTGATATGTCAATAGTGAGAACCTGATTTGTTGGGTTTTTTCCTCTAAGCTACACTTTAGAACAGTGACACTTGTCCAGGGACACAGAGAGGGGAGCAGGATGCCCATGGGTTTACCTGGCTAAAGCTCTTCAGGGCATCCTGTGAATTTTTTCAATTCAGGATGCAGAATTCATATGTCCCTAGATCAAGAGCATACGTTAAACTAACTTTACAGAGTAAATACACTTCATTAACAGAAGTCCCTACTCTTAAAAAGCTATTCTAATAGCTGGGTTTAGAGGAACTGGGGCAAGAGAAAAGATCATAAGCCTTTTACATCAAACATAAATGGGAAGCTAACGCAGGATACTCAGCTTGTCCAAAACAATCACGTCAACAGCACATGTTGAAATGAACAAAGTAAAACTGAAATTTTTGAAGTACGACTGTGGTACTAAATAAGTCAACAAAGCTAAGATTCCTGCTACTCTTCCAAGGAGCAATCATGAGACCTTTAATAAAAGAACAACTTCCTGTAGCTCTGCAGTGTCCTACCACCAAGCAGCATTAGCAACCTGCTCACTCCCTGGGTTTCTGTCAAGTGTCCTCATTTACTGCACAGGGACCATCTCTGCCCAAGGCACTGTTGTGAAGATCAGCTCAAAAATTTGGTGCCTGAGTTTCAGGCACTGCAAAGAGCATCAGGAACATGAGAATGTCTGTTGAATGCTTGCCTAATTAATGAGTTAGAATCTACTGTAAGCACTGGTAGCTTATTAGAAGTCATGAGGGGACCGGGAGGGCACTTAGGACATTTAGTCTACACTTCAAAAGATCAGGTCACAAATCAATTACTCTGGATTAATTTTATGCTATTAAGTAAGTCCTCTTCACAATTTCAATTTGTTTAATTTGTAGGATATTATGAATTCTAGCACCAGGAATAATCGCACTGAAAAAAACCAAAATATAATTTTCATGATACGTTGATTCAAAGAGGGGAAAGGAAATAAGAGTTGTGGTAAAGAGAAGGTGATGCATCCTGAGCATGGCCAGAAATTAACAGAGATGCTGTTGAGATATTCCTGTAAAATTCCATTGTCTACAGCAGGCAAGAATGAGGTTTTTCTGCCATCAAATATGCAGTCTGTTAGGCAACACTGCAGCAAAAACAGGTCCTAAAATATGTTACGTAATTTAATTCCAAATGAAGAACTTTGTTTAAAAAAAAAAAAAAAACACAACCCCCAAAACAAAGCAAAACACTCTTTAATTTGCATTACGCATCAGGGATTTTTATGTGCTGTGCTCTCAAGTTCCATTTACCCTCCTCTTCATTCCATTTGGCTGAGTGCAAGGAGTAGATCGTATTTTGAAAGGAAAACAGTTGTTTCTGTATTTATTGAAGTTGTTAGGATATGTGAGTATTTTATTGCTATTATATAAATATTGTTCTTAGAAACGATAATAAAAGAGCCATAGTTTCACTGGACTCTAAATAACTATGATTCTTTAATGAAAAGGTTTTCTTAACTCTCCTGCTCAAAGAAAACAAAAAGGACTAAGAGAATACATAAATACACCCATCACAGAGAAAATATTTTGACAGCAAGTCAGAAAAACTTGAAATTTGTTCCTAGCATAGATCATGTTAATCCAGCCATCAGTGAAATAGAAATTTCCTTTTCTACACAACTATTTCAGTTTTGTGCAAATGGAGTTGTAGTGAATGTTGTATGTAGGTGAAAAATAGAAAAAATCCTCTTATTATTCACCCATGAAAATTTTACAAAAATTCAGTAGTTACGCATGTTGAGAAGGAAATGGTGTTCCTCTGACACACATCTTGTGCCTCCCCATGTTCCTGTGCAGAGGTACAAAGCTAAGCTAATTGTTATCCAGTTCCCTCAAACCCAGGAGCCTGTAGTACATCAAAAGGTCTGAAAAGTAGGGATTAGAAGATAGATCAAAAGACCAGACATCAACAACTTGAAGGATGCAGTTACTACATAGCAAGAAACAGCTGTGTAAGTACATCAGAGGGAATTTCAATGCCAGTGAGTAAGGCAGCCCAAAGGTGTTGGAGAACACCTTGGCAATCCAAAGGGCAGTCAACAGTCAGTAGCCCAGGCCAGCAAGAGAAAACAGGAATACAAGTTAAATCATCCCAAGAGTTGCAACATTCCATCAAACTTGATACATTCCCTCTGGTGCAGAAATTTGTGCATTATCCCCTGTGACAGAATGACCATGATAATGGACCCCCAGTGAGCGGATTTGGTCTGTGACAGACTCCAGAACACGGGATGTACAAAGCCTGTTTAAATATTGTGACAGGTCTGTGACAGCTCCTGACAGCTGGAGACTAGAGGGACACACAACCAGTGCGATTAACCATTGCTGATTATTTCCACAGCAGTAACAGCCTGAGCTGCAAGCTGGTTTTTTGTTATACGGCATCTCAATAAGGACTCTGCAAAATGCCCCATCCCTGGAAGTGTTTGAGGCCAGTCTGGATAGAGCTTGGAGCAACCTGGTCTAGTGGAAGGTGTCCCTGCCCACGGCAGGGGGTGAGATGAGATGAGCTTTAAGGTCTCTTCCAGCCCAAACCAGTCTGTGATTTCTCTGGTGGGTTTTTCAGCCACTCGAGTATGTTTAAGAGGGAAAGTGGGAGGACTGCAACTGCTCCAATCTCTGAGAAATACACACAGGCATGTCTGCACCAGTGCCAGTTTAGTCCTGTATGCACAGAACACACCTCCACTATGATCCCAAACACAAGTGCACCCAAAGGAACTGACAGGTTGTAAAACCAAATTCCTATAATTTTGCTCTAACACTTAAGAAAATGCTGGTGTTTGCCTTAAGGTTGGCATAGAAGCATTGCCAAAATAAATGTTAAAAAAACCAACCACCACCACCTTTTTTTTTTTTAAACTCTCAGTATCACATTTTGGTCACATTTACCAAGCGTGGCTGTTCCGCCTCTCTTCTGCACTATGTGAGAGCCACTGCAGTATCTCAGTGTCTCTTAGAAGCTGAAACAGTCCTGACAGATCCCAGAAGTTCCTCCTCTGGCATTTCATGCAAGGCAGCTGCCTGACAGCTTCACTAGCCACTAAACCCAAGAGCTGCAAGAAAGTGCTTTTCTCAGCCAAGTCTCTATAAAGCTTTTCTGATACTTCATCCCTTCCAACAACACTTTTATCTGCCCCCGTTACTTGCCAGATTCAGCCTTTGCCAGACGCAGTCTTTGAAGGGCTGCAGCTTTTGGTTGTGTCTGTTTGGTCTTTAATTAGTTATTAAAACTTACTTGTAGTTAGATTTTATATGGTTATTTCAAGGACATTCAGAGTCATGTAAGACCCCAGTTACTAACAGTGACTGCCATGTGATTGGGACACTGGGAACAGGATCAGCCCCTGGAGAGGAGTATCCTCCACTGAATCATTCCAAGCAGAATTTGCTAAGAGATGGCAGCAATTCTCCTTTCTACCTACATTTTCAGTACTCCATCCCTTTTTCTTATTCAACACAAATGCTAAAATACTTTCCATGTTCCATTTTTACCTTGTCCTCACGAAATATGAGCCAAATGCCATGTCTTGTATGAGGGCTCTCCAACCTGACAGCTTTCTGTTAGCTCATTCATTATCTATTCAACAGACCTCACACACTCATAGGCCAAAATATTCAAGGATATCCTTGGTTCTCCCCTTAGACTTAAATTTCTCTAAGTTTAAGACCTTTTAAGAGGCACAGTAAAATCTAATTTATAAGCTTATACACATTTAAAGCTGCAACACAGTCTCTTACACACTTTGTATTAAAAAGCCTTGTTATCTTCATGCTGCAGCATCTTTCAGTGGTTTGTAATAGCTTTCTAATATATTTATCAGTCAGTTCCTACTTGTTATCATCACTGAGTACTGGTGATATGCACTGAACACACTTAATTCCACCTTCCAGCAAGGCTTTCTCTGTCATGAGCATAAAACCCACTCCTTTTAGACAGAGTTTTCCTTTTAACCTCTTTGGTGTCATTGTGAAGTCTTTAGTAGCTGGTTATGCTTAAGTAAGTACAGGCTACAGGAAAATCAGCTGCCACAACCTTGTAGTTGTTATTTTGTCTCCAAAGATGTATCTCGTATCTTAGAGCACATTATGCAACACAGAAAAAACCCTCTGCTAAACCAAATTGTCAAACCAAAATACTAACAGGTCAATGGCAATAAATTACCTGGAAATTATAGTTTTATTTATTACTTAACAATGTATTTTCCCTGTTTTCTTAGGCAGAAGAATCGCGAAAGACAACCATAAATTACCTGTCAACATCAGCAGCACTTACCCATTACCTCTTAACCTAGACTTTTAGAACCACAGAAAAAATGCTGTGCCTCAGTATGAAATAATGCATTTAGCATTATTCTGATAAATCTGAAGAGAAAGCAAACATGAGAGTTACCACAAGCAAAACAATATCGGCAGTTTCCATTCAGTGGGACAGAAGGTGAAGCTGAGAAGGGAAATGAAGTTAATACTGATGGGGAAATGAAGGGAGAAACGTTCTTTGTGCATGAGAAACTCACCAGAACTGTTCGCCCTTGGGAAATAAAGAAATGGCCAGACACCACAATGGTGAGGACAAGAGAGCCTGATTCTTCATTTGATTCAAACACCTTTAAAAAGACAGACAAAGAAAAATCCATCCCTGTAAGCACAGAATCTGTAATTGCCATTTCTAGTGAAAAACAAAAGGTTTCAAAGGTCAGTGCAACTTGCCCTACGCTCCCGAGACAGGAGGCACGTTTAATGACTTTTTTACTAATTATACCTTGATACACAGATTTAACTACTTTAAATAACTCTCTGGAATCTTCCAACTTGATCTCTAGATTTTAATACCACAGGTCACTGCTGCATAAAAAAAATAAAAATAAGAAAATGGGCTACTAGCCATTCTACCTCTGACCTGCTGATATTAATAATTCATGAAGCAAAACTTCTCCAGATTCCTGCATTAGCTCTGGACTTCGAAAAACACCCCTGGAAGGCCTCACATATTCCTGCTGACGTCACAGTGGAGCCAGTTACCCCACACTGCCCCGCCGCCCCCCCGCACCTTCCATGAGGTGTTTTGCCCCTCATCGTCACCGTCCCTCGGCGGGAGGAAGCGGCCATAGCGCTTCAAAGGCCACGTTGTGGCGCTGCCGAGGAGGGAGGTGTCGCCGGCACTGCCCGGCGCTGAGCCCGGGCCAAGCTCGGAGCCGCGAACGCCGCCGGCCGCCGCCATCCCGCAGTGAGGGAGCTGAGGGACCGCGGCCCTGAGGGCGCTGAGGGGGCCGGGAGCCCTGAGGGGCCGGTGGCGCGCGGGAGCTGCGCGGGAAGCAGGAGCCAATAGGAGGGAGGAGAGAGCGCGTGGCGGGAGTTGTTCGCCAATCAGCGCGAGGCGCGCTGGTGCTCGCGCCGCTTCTTCTGTGGCCGGTGGGGCGCGCGAGCGGTGGTGGGGTCGCTCCGCTCGCCTCAGCGGGGCTCCGCGCCAGCTGCTATGTTCCTGCTTTCCTTTTCTCCTTCCCCTCTCCTCCTCCGAGGGGAGCGCGGCTACAGCCTCCCCCTTCTCCCAACAGCCTGCGGCCGTGCCGATGTGGCGGGTCTGCCCGGCGGCGCCGAGGGGAGAGCGGAGCGCGAACCCCGCGGCGCGCGCGGCCGCCATTTTGTGGGGTGTGAGGGAGCGCGGTCCGGACTGCGCAGCGAGGAGGAGGAGGAGGTGAAGGTGAAGGTGAAGGTCTCGTGGGCTGTCAGTGCCCTCAGAGAAATGCCCGTGGAAGCCGGCCACGATGCTGTGTTTCTCATAATATCAGCACACATCCTTCCGCAGGTGAAACACGGCAGGTCCCTATAAAAACACTGTCCTACGTTCTCACTTGCCTTTCCATTTCTTGGTGTGCTGCTCGCTTCACAGAGTTACAACAGGGCTTTTGTGGTACCTGAAGTGGGGTCTCAAAAAAGCTCTTGTTAGTGTGTGCTGGATGTTTTTAAACCAGCGTGAGCCAACAGGTGGATTAATAAATCAAAATTGCGCTTTTCCCCCCATTTTGCTCCCTCTCTGCTATTAGTTTGCTCCTGCAATTATGGAATGCTATACTTTCCCTGGCTGAGGAGCAGTGGTGAAATGACTCATAATAAGACTGCACTTAGGTATTCCATTTATAGAACGTATCTTGGGCATTAACAATAATGTGCATGAGCTGGTCAAGGTCACCGAGGGGGCAGGGAGGAGCCAGGTGCCATTTGGGACTGACCTGAATGGGCTCCTGGATGCCCATCACCACCAGCCTCCCTTAAACCATGAGCATGCCTAAGGGTGACATCCCAGGAACTTTAATCCCAGTTCCCAGCATTGCCCACTGCCAGCAGCACGTAGCTGCCCAACGTGAAACTTGCCTAAATAATCATACTTCTTAAGTTAAGGACAGAAAAAATTTTATGCCAATTTTTTCTACTTTTTCTTATTTTTATCGTTTGCACTGATGATGCTGGCTTGGCTGATAGATAAGGTTAAAATAGAATGAGTAACTACTGTCCCTTCTAAAATAAAACCTTCAAGCACAAGGTTAATCTATTAAACTGTGAATTTTAATCTATTAGAAAATAGCAGATTGACATTTACGTCTTGTGGATGTTTTGTTTTTCGTCCAATGTCGCACCCCAGAGCCACTTTAACATCCAAGGAACATTCCAAAATAAACAATTTTACAGTGTTTCCAAAAGGGAGGTGTTTATCTAAACATTTTGCAGAGAGGGGAACACAGGCAGAAAGGCATTAAATGACTTGACAAGGTCATCCAGAGAAATCAGCAATGAAACAGGGGATAGATACAGCGTGGGCTTCCCAGCTGCCAGTTGCCTTGTCTAATCACTGCTTCCCCACAAGGATTTCTCAAATTGTGCTTGTCAAACATTCAGAATTTGCCTGCAGACTTGGGACTTTCTTGCAATCTACAGAAGAAGCTGAATATTATTGTCAGAGAAAGACAGTATGAGTACAAGTAGTGAATCTATTTTCCCTCTAGTTCAGCTGAAGTTCTGTGGGAAACAGTTTGTTTGCAGTGTCTGTTTTCCAAGAGTGATCTCTGGCAGATGTGCTAAAGGCTTCTGCAGGGGGAAAACAAAAGCTCAGTATTTCACCAAACCAAAATTTCAAAATGTGGGTCTGAAAGAGGCAGAAGGAAACCAAGTGCATCACATACTCCCATCTGCTCATGGGTTTTTGCTTGACTGGGGTCTATTCGCTTGCTTTTGCTTTTTGGATGTGAATGCCTTAGGGTTTTATATGTCTGTAAAGTAAAATGAGCACTGTGTTAAGGTGATACACAAGCTCTTGCTGATTCTGATTTCCTTGGGGAATTGCATGATTAGTTGTTGATTCAGACAGCAGAAATGCAGGACAATGGTTAAAATGTTTTGTTGGGATTTTTGGGTGGTTTTTTTTAAGGCTAGATAGGCTGCCAATTTTTTAAAATTACAGAATAAAATGTAGAAGAAAGAGACAGGTAAAAACTGTCAGGAGACTGAAAGGTTAAAATGTGTTTCATCAGAAATGAGAAGGCAAATCCCACATAGGTGCTGAGGGTTTATCATTGTGATGTACTTCAGGTTTGTACTTCACAGACTGCAGTGGTACAAGTTAATTTTCTCACTGCAGAAGTACCTGGTCGTGTCAATAAATTACAGAAACTCTGCCAGAAGTAGAGAGATCCATGCAGGAAGAGAGATCCATTCCTGCACCATATGGACTTGATAATGTGTTAATACTACTGTTAGACATTTAACAGTTGATTTTGGTACTGGACATTTTGCTGAGCTGTCTACATTATTGATTTTTAATAATAATGGAGGTAATAACAGCAACAATAAAGTCATGTCACCGTGACCGCCAAGTGTGAGTGTAGGTTTGCCACGAGTGCAGGGGATGGACTGCAGTAGCTCATACAAATTGGACAAATAGTGTATTAACAAAATCAAGGCTGCCAGGTGCATGAAATGGATAAAATAAGGAACAAAAGGTACATTTTAGAAATTCTGGAGGTTTTCCTGTGGTACTGACAATTTCCCATCTGCTTCTACCCAGCCGTGTTAAAAGGATGAATGGGATTACTCCAGAGACATAAAGGGCAGGCTAGTGAGAATGCTTTATTCAGAATACTTGATTTATTGCTTTGATTTCTGTAATAAATAGCGTTACCTTATTCCTTAGTTGCTTTGTTAGAAGTTGTGGTATTTCCTGAAGTTTATTCCATTAATTAATGTTTCCCGTAGTTGCACCTGCTTTCATCGGAATGTGATCTGCAGTCATCTCTCAGTTCTAATGAAACTGCAGCCTCAGGGATTATTGCCCAGCAGTTCTGTACCCCTCCCCAAAATACCCTCATCCAGTTCTGCCAACATGTGTCAGCATGGGGGAGGTGAATTTAGAGGTTTCTTACGCAGAACTTTAAAGCCAAGGACCATGTGTTGTTCTGGGCTCTGGTATGGTGGCCTCTGCTGTCCTGAGGAGCTTCATGTTTTAGGAGACCTCATTCCCCAGCTGTGTGAACTGCAATCAGTGAATTTTACTCAGCAGTTTTATCCTGTTTCATTTTTTCCTTGACAAAATCTACCCCCTTGCAATAAGCTTTACATTTTTAAATGAAAAACAGAAACTAAATCAGTGTGTTTCTGACTGAAGGTACTTCAGTATCATTGTAAAATAGGAGTGAAGTCTGATGACTTGTGTTTGGCACCAGAATCCCACAGAATCTGGGAATTATTTGGGTTGGAATGGATCTTAAAAACCATCCAATTCCACCCCCCTGCCATGGGCAGGGACACCTTCCCCTATCCCAGGTTGCTCCAAGCCCTGTCCAACCTGGCCTTGGACACTTCCCGGGATGGGGCAGCCACAGCTTCTCTGGGCAACCTGGGCCAGGGCCTCACCACCCTCACAGGGAAGAATTTCTTCCCAATATCCAATCTAACCCTGCTCTCTGGCACTTTAAAACCATTGTCCCTTGCCCTGTCACTGTCTGCCCATTCAAAAAGTCCCCATCCCTACTTTTCATAAGCTCCCTTAAGGTACTGGAAGGCCACAGTGAGATCTCCCTGAGCCTTCTCTTCTCCAGGTGAACACCCCCAGCTCTCCCAGCCTGTCTCCAGAGCAGAGGGGCTCCAGCCCTTGGAGCAGCTCCGTGGCCTCCTCTGGACTCACTCCAGCAGCTCCAATGTCTTTCCTGAGGCCCCCAGCTGTAATTTGCAGTTATACTTCACAGTCTCTCTCCTCACTGGCCGTGTCAAGATTAAGATTGGATTGAGAATCTGCCCTTGGAGCCCCACAAGAATTAAAGGGCCCTTCTGGCTCAGTATCTTCGATTATCCTTTTTTTCTCCAGAAGTTAATAAGTTTTAGTGTGTCTCCAGGAACGGATCCTGTTAGTTCCTCCAGGAACCAATCCTGTTAGTTCACATATTGTTCCTGTTTATCTAGTGGTGACATTCCTGACTTGTCAAGTGTCATATACCTGAATGACATCTTCACTGGATGATCTTTAAAGTCCCTTCCAACCCAAACCATCCTGTGATTCTGTGACCTTACTCCCTAAATTATATTATTTGTGAGGGTGCTTGAGCTTTACAGGGGAGCTGTGAAAGCTCATAAAGTAGAGTGTGTTATGTGTACACTTAGTTATGTGAGGAAAAAAGGAGCCACAAAGCAGAGTTGTCCACAGTCAGCAGGGACAGACCAAAGCCAGAGTGAAGCCCCCTGACTTCATGGTGTCATTGGCCTCACTGTGTGACTGGAGACTGCTCCATAAAGCCTCAGACTTTTTCTAGGGAAGGTCACATTTTTTCAAAGCAGAATTTATTTGCACTCCCTTTATTTCCTTTTAAGTTGTCTAACTTTAGCACTCACGGTACAGATGAAGGAGCTGCTGCCTCACAGATTTTTCCATTTACATAAAAAACCCACCCACAAACACCCTTCACTGTCAGTGCATCCATTTTGCTGAGTGCTCTTCATTTTCCATGACCTTGAAAACATAAGGGCGTTTATTAATTAATTCAAATTTCCAGCTGGGTGGAGGGGAGAATTGCAGATCAGAGATAAGCAATTTGTTGTGTGCCCCTTATTTGATGAGGATTGTAGAAGGAGAAATAGTCCAAGCCATTGCCAAGATTTCCTATACCAATCAGCTCTTGTTTTTCATTTAACCACTGGTTAAAGAGTGACCCTAGCAGTCACTGGACTTGGAGTAATTATTGTAAACTGAATTCCTGACAGTCTTGGATATTGACAGAAACTGGAATTAT